ACGCCAACTTCCTAAGAAACGCTCTCATTTATCCTTATACGTGCTCAAAGTCAATCCCAGGATCTAAACTTGAAAAGTAGCCATTCTGTCTGTAGCAGCTGCCCCAGTACCCTCCTTCTCTAGCCTCCCGATGCCCACGGCAAGCCGACTAACTGACAGTGACCAACGCCAAAGCACGGCGGCCCCCACAGCCTTGAGATGAGCGGCGTCATGGTCGCGCGTACACTTCAGGCTAGCTCCATTAGCCAGCCTATTTGACGCCCAGATGACCTTGTCATCAGACATCCAGACTTGGCCTTCGACGCAACCAATCACGCGCCCCACAGCCAGACAATCACTGGCACACGAACAGACCCAGGCGCGTAAACAACAAACCTCTTTTGGCACGCTCCCGAACGGTCTTATTCTCCAAACACCGCCGCTCATACGCTCTCAGCCAGTCGCATTGTTCACACACCAGAAAACAGTCAATCCGCAGCAACTTGCCTTGGGTACCCAATGAATCGCCCCAACATTTGATTTCCTTCTTCCAACAGACGGAACATTCTTGGTGTTTGTGGTTATAGTAGATCATTCATCTTTACTGACCGCGACACGCCCATCAAGGGCGGCAAACAGTAAATCCATCATTGGTTAGAATAGGGAGCTTGAGAGCCTGGTGTGTATGCAATTCTTCCGATGAGTGTCAATTCCGAAAAAAATAAACTGGCTGTAGGACCGAGCAAAAGTCGAAATAAATGTATACGCTAAAGATATGTGGTATTTGGTAGGAAATAAGCGAACGTGTGAGGGACATTTGAGCCAGTAACAGAAGAAGCATAGGATTAATCTATCCACTGGAAGGCGCCAAAACGGATGACAAACCAGAAAGAAGTTAAAAAAATATAAACAGGTTAAAGACAGACAAAAGCGAAAGGTGGAATGATGAACGAGCAGAATCGAAGAGAAGTACTGCGCAAAAATGCATATCACAGTCGTTGAAAGCGGTGACCTGCAATGAGAGATGTTAGCTTTGAGTGATTGTGGGACTGTGAGAACAACAAGCAGGCAGCCAAAAAGGGTCATCAGGGTTCTGATTTTCTAAGGGTCTCTTCAAGGGCCTGTTCCAGGACAATATTTCTGGTCATAAGTTCTTCGCACAGTTGTTTGAGTCCACGAAGCTCCCGGGAGGTGGAAAGACTGCTGGCTTGTGAACCAGGAAGGGCAACCGACTCCAGCAATTTCAATTTTGACTTGACGCTGCCCAAAGCACCGGAGAACAGATCAGAGGACTTCAAGGGCGCGGCCGTTGTCGAGGTCGACCTCTGATTGGTGGATAAAGCTGAGGCTTGACTGGTGGATGAAACGATTTTATCGTCCAATCGCTGTTGGATAATTACAGATTTTGCTTCAAGCTCGCCAGAAAGACGTTTGATTTGGCGATGGAGGCTGCAGTTTTCCTCCTGCACCTCGGATAAACGGTTCAAGAGGCACTGAAAAGAGGATAAGAATATGATCTTAACGATCCCACGCAACAACTAGAACAGTGACTTCGCAAAAGGTTCTTGTGAGAGAGCCACGCTTCGACTCATTAAAAAAATGTCTCGCAGTCAAGCGTGGACGGTAAAGAGCTTTCTATCGAAAATATGTTGGCTATAAGCAAACGGGATGTAAAATTGGAAATCAGGCATCCAAAGAAATGTAATTTTAAGAACTGCATGAACACCAAGCTAGTTTTCTTGACATTTTACCACTGTCAGTGGTCACCAGAAGCGACTTAGTCAGCTCCAAACTTGAAGTTAAATAGGCGGAATAACAGGCATAGTCGTATTCAGCAGATGATTCTAAC